ATCATGACTGTTTCTAAGCTTTTGATTTGAGATTGATCAAAACACTTTGACCTCGCCTTGAAAAGGACGTTGACGAGTAGGGAGGGGAAGTGATGCTTCGTTAGATCGCTGAAAAACTCGTCCGATCCCAGCTCATACAACCACGGACCTTTTGAATTCTGCCAACACAACCACCCGTGCGCACTTTTTAAAAGCTGGGAAACCTTGGTCAACCCCATACCGCTCCCTCCCGAGAGTCGGAAACGACAAACCATCCTTCTATTTTACAAACCGCTACTTGGGTGGTGTAGGTTTGTATGCCTGTCTGTCCGTCTGCGAAATGAGGTGAGTGATAAGGCAGCTAATGGATTAAAACAAGCCGCTAATTTACCGTTCATAGTTGGCGACCGTACATGCGATTAGGCGATTACGGTCTCAGGACATCTGTCAACCGTGAGCCTTGGCGGTTCAGCGTTTTGTAGTGATGTCTGGGAGCTCTCACAAGTGCACACTATCACAGCATCTCCTCTTTCTTTATCTTCTTCAAAAGGCTTAGTCCCAATAAGACACAAAGTGTGTGCTTTTCCAGCTACGCTCTCACCCTTTGGTTGACAGAAGCCTTGTAACCGGCGATTAGGCGATAGGCGAGTGATTCAAAATGAAAAAGTATACGAATCGATTAGGCGATTAGGCGATTAGGCGAGTAGGCGACACCGAGTAGGCTATGCGAGACGGTAACGAGGAGGTAACGTATAGATGCACAGCTGCCGCCTTTGGCGATCGCCGATCTACGCCTTACTCGCCTACTCGCCTACTTGCCTGACTCGCCTACTGTACAGCGCTCAATGATAAGGCGGAGCAAGCAGTCAGTATGTAGTACATAGTCTCGCCGCCTAATCGTTGAATCGCCTATTCTCCCAAACCGCCTGATCTATACGTTGTATTTTTTACTATAGACGAATTGCTAATCGCACGTACGATCACCAATTATGAACGCTCGATAACAAATCTGGTAGCTACAGGATTTGAGATATCAATGTTTTGCAAGGATAGTTGTGATAACACTCTAGGGCTATATAAACACCTGCTTAGCACACTTCCGTTCATTCCACATGGTGCTGCAGTGGCAGCTGGAGGGCAGTGGAGGAGGAAGGGAGGATGAGGAAGGGGAGGCGGAAAATCTACCGTCATATCATGATATGGTGATGCCCTCTACTATATGAAACTCCATTTGTTGCATACGCGTCACTTCCACGAGGTGTTGGTGTCACAAGAAGTGACCACAGCGGGGAAGCAAAGGTGGCGCAGAGAAAGGAGATCCCGGCGGTGACAGGGCAAACCTCTTCGATTTCTTAAAATGCGGTGAATGGAGCATGCACAAATAACTGACAGAAAGATCATAGATATTGAGCTACGCAAGCTCAGAAGCGTTGGACCGTACCACCCGTTTTTGGGTGGATCCTCTGCTGTTTTTACAATCGCTGAAACTGATTGGCCTCGTGAAAAGTATAGCAAGGTCACCTGTGTTCGTTGCGTGCGTTGCAGTCGAGTATCGCTGTAGTTGTTCGGACTCTCCTGTGTCCTTGCCTCTCTGCTTTTGCTTAGCTGATTCTTATCAATCTTTTCAGCTTCCTGAAAACTGGTCTCGTTGTTGTAGTATAGTGAACCTACAGCAAATTCCATCTGCGAACTTGCCTTTTTTCGGGAACAGCACAGAGTTATGAAGCCACACGAATGAAGCGTTAGTATGAGGTAGAGCGTTGCGGTGAGAAAAGATATAATTGAAGTGTTTATAGACTGAAAGATGTATTTCGCAAGCGTGCATCATAGGAGGTGATAGCTGCTACCCTCAGCTGCCCACCACAACCTCATCGAGCCGCTGTTGAATGCCGAGCATAAGTCCTGGTAGAATAAAAATGAAACATCCTTCGTAACACAATGTTTGTTGTTGTGTGAATATTGAGGATCAGTTTTCCTGGATACCGATTCAATTTCTATTTATCTACGGAGATCCTGCTATATATAATCACGCACCGGACGTTCAATAGTGGCAATCGTACGTGCGAATAGGCGATTAGGCTAGTGTGCGAATAGGCGACATGAGGAGGGTACGAGGTTGGATTCCTTGCTCCGCCCATTGGGCGATCGCCTGATCGCTTAATCGCCTACTCGCCTACTCGCCTATAACGCTCTGAGGGCGGAGCAATCAATCAATACGTATGTAGTCTTCACCGCCTAATGCCTAATCGCCTGATCGCACGTACGATCGCCAAACTATGAACGCTCCATTAACTTCGTATAGCATACATGTCTGCCGAAAAAATTCACAACTCGCTACCACTGGCGGCTTTTTAAAAAAAAAAGGCAGAAGAACAAAGAGGAAGCGACAGCCGGTGAAGACAGGGGGTAAAAAATGGGATAAGAAAAAACAGATTAACAGCGTCGGATGTGCGGAAGGTCACCTATTTTGTTACGTCGTTCCCTTCGACAGTGGAGTGTTCGCCCTTACAGGAATTAAGTGGGATGGAACGGGGACCTAAATGAACAGCGAAATAAGGCCATAGCGGCGCTTGTGTCCTCGGGCATCCACCTGAGTGTGCCATTACTGGCTTAAACCAAACTGAAGACGGAAGGGATCCTTGGAGCATTTGAGCGGCATGGGTGGTGTGTTCTTCCTAGCGCTTTACCCTTTGCTGGGCTTATTCATAGTCTCACCTAACATCGACCATATTTCGAATGTCCCTCCCCCAAGGCCATGAGCGCCGCGATAGCAAGTGATAGACGTTCGATAACTGCGTCGGAATGTCATTGCCACCTAGGTCGCTACATCCTTCACGTTGGACGGTGCACGTTTGGTTCATGTCCTTAATGATGAGTGAGGCGGTAATTTCCAACTGATCCAAGTCCAGACACCTAAGCGGATCAGCATCCTTTGCTTCTCTCGATGAAGAGAGAAGCAAAGGATGCTGATCCGCTCTCCGTCCGATCCTCCTCCTCCTACCATATGAGCCAAGTTTATTGGCTCCCCCACTTTCTTCACGATTCGGCAAACCCGCGGCGTTCGACGGCCGAGTGCAGTGCGGCATCAGCTTGCCGAGTATTCGACGTTACATTACGTGTCGTTACGATCGGATGAACTAACACGTAATGTAACGTCGAATACTCAGGCAGCTGATGCCGCACTACTCGGCCGCGAACGCCGCGGGTTTGCCGCGGCCGCGCCCCAAATCGTGAAGAAAGTGGGGGAGCCAAGTTTATTGTTTACTGCGAAGGCCGCATCCGAATTGGTGGTACTCAAACTCTGACGCCCCTTATCAGTTTCTATCAGTTTTTATCGCTTTCATTCATACATCTTCTTGGTCCATCAGACTTAGGTTAGATGCTGATTGATTGATCACATTTCATTTCCACACCGACATTGAGAGCAGAGAAATCTACTGAACCGCTATTATTTAGATTCAAGCTCAATATCTACGAATTCACTATAAACATCGAGGAGCATCCCTCGTGTCTGTGACGTACCACTCGATACGCTTGCACTGAGGCCTGAACATCTTTCCAGATCACCTCGCTGAATTTTGATACATTCTACGAATTGTTTCCCGGCCATGTGGCTGAGGCTTCTGCAGGTTTGCAGATTCCTGGAACACCGCGTAGCGGGCGGAACGCTGTAAGCTGGCCATTCAATATGGAAGAATCATCTCGAGATATCCTCTCACATTAAGACCAAGTAGATATGGGATTCTCCTATATACGATCCCAAGCGGTGAATGTGTGTGTAGATTAACCCGGCGACTTCATGAATCCTCCAGTCTCATTGGGGTGAAGAAGTCGCTCAAACTGGGGCGGATAAAAGAGGGGATGACTGTGTTAGACCCTCCACAGTTTCACTGAAGCTCATCGAGAATACGCGTGATAACGTCTGAGCTGAACTGGTATATTGATCACAACTCTGTAAACATCCAGCATTTTTCTTGAATTAAGATAATTTAGCGGTGAATAGGATTGCTGTCAGTCTCAAAATCAAAACGAAATATGCCTATTTACATAAGTGAGGAGCTAATGCTTATCATTCATTTACATTCATCATTATTTAGTTAGCGGTTTAATGAGTTTGGGTTTTCTTAATAGTCAGAAATGAAACTTATCATTTGCTGAAGACTTGTTTTTTAAAGTTTATGCAGTCGAATTCTATTAAGTAAGCTGGATATATATCGAAATAATGTGCACGTACCTTTGTTTGTACTACTACGACTTACTACAATTTGTAAGTAGGAACGCTCTAGTGTCAACGCTGCGTAACGGAATCGACGACTTCAGCGTTCTGGCGCGCCTTATCGGCCCTTATCAATCGTTATCAGTTTCTGGCACCCACCAACAATGTCCCCGTCCCACCCCACATAACACTTGTAAGTATGGTTGCTCTGGTGTCAACGCGAGCCAGGCAACGGAATCGACGACTTTTGCGTTCTAGCGCATCTTATCAGCCATTATCAGTTGCTATCGCTTCCAATCATGTACCACCAATGTCCCGGGACCGCCCCACATAAGACTTGTAAGTATAGACGCTCTTTTACCAATATGAACGGCAAAACGAAATTGGCGATGCTCGCTTTCTAGCCCCTCTTATCAGCTATTATCAGTCGTTATCAGTTCCTATCACGTACCACTTGTCCCCATCCCACCCCCTATAACATATGTAAGAACCACTGCGCTATCGTTACTGTGACTCGAGCTATGAATTTCCGGTCAAACACACACACACACACACACACCAACAGACACACGCTAGCCGCTTATATATAGTAGGATATTGGAGAGCAACTTTTTGAGAAAGTGTAATCATTAATTGCGAGGGGTTGAGATTGTGCGCGGAACACACTCTGCATATGTAGGGATTTAAATTTCTCACTTGCTTAAGTAGTAGTTTAGCTGTACCCAGGGGCTCAACTTAACAGATCGCGATCTGGATGATTTTCGTGGCTATTCAGGTCCAAAGCAACTTCGCTCTGTTCACTCTGTTAATCGGCGACTCTTGTCCCTCGTCTTCCGAACCTCTTCCGTAACCCTGGGACATGAGTTTCCTCTGTTGTTCCGTTTTTGGTAGCGAAGATGATTTCCATGTTAAGTGTGCCAAAATCTTCCTCACGGCTCTGTCGTTGACTTGAAGCGTTCTGGAACACTGTGTAAAGATAAATCTTTGGCCTGCCCAAGACGCAGGATGGGAGCCCACTCATGAGGCGGTCATACGGTAGGTAGAGCTGTCTTCTCTGAAGAGCCGATGCTTAGGCCGATGTCATAGTTTGCGAATCGAGCGATTCGCTAGATCCGAGCGTTGCGCCAGCGAATCGAACGTTGCACCAGCGAATCGAACTTTGCGCCAGCGAGTCGAACGATGTACCAGCGAGTCGAACTAGGTACCAGCGACTCAATAGTGGCGGGACCCAACGTTTAAAGGAAGCCCGCCACTTTCAAACAGTGTCCACTGCAAAGTCCCGCCACTTTCAAACAGCGTCCACTGTCACGTGACACTGTTTGAAAGTGGCGGGCTTCCTTTAAACGTTGGGTCCCGCCACTATTGAGTCGCTGGTACCTAGTTCGACTCGCTGGTACATCGTTCGACTCGCTGGCGCAAAGTTCGATTCGCTGGTGCAACGTTCGATTCGCTGGCGCAACGCTCGGATCGAGCGATTCGCTAGCGAATCGCTCGATTCGCAAACTATGACATCGGCCTTAGATCGTGATTGAGGGCAACTCTTAACAGTGCCAAAGCGGGCCTTTAGGTCGGAGAACCATTACTTTTGCATGACCCTAACAGCTCTTCCAGATGCAGATGTTGTAAAGGGGTTGTGATAGTATATGCTGAGAAGCGAGTAGAAATTTTATTTCTCGAACATGTTAAGATACCAATTAAGTTCAGATTAGAGTAAAATGTTCGTTATTATCCATTTTTGTAAGTATTCACCGTTAGCGCATCGTCTGTGGCAGAGTCATTTCATTCAAAATGTCTTCCTGAAAAATTCGTCATCGCGTATGTTTTGGAGGCGGAGCTTAAAGTTCTTGGATTATCCAAAAAAATAATTTTTTTCTCCATTTCTGCTCTACTTCTTGGCTAGGGGTGTCGCCTATTCAATGCGTGCGTAGAGAAGTTCCTCAAAACTTGTATGTTAGTGGCCATGAGTGGCAGTTCTGCTGCATGTCTCTGCCCTCCCATACAGCATGCTCTTTCACGTTCTCTCGCTTCTCTGCACGCTGTGTCTCTTCGCCGTACCAAGGCCGACCTCACTGAAATTTTAGCCGTACTTTCAGTGCTAGTTTCCTTGATGTTCCTTGTCATTTAAATTCGCGCTTCTCTCCATAAATCACGTGAACCGTCTTACAAACCAACGCCTATCGTGGCCATGCCTTTAAATCGTGACAAGCCCACATGATTCAATTTCATACCAAATTCGCCGCCCCCCCCCCCTTCTTCCGGCCTCTAACATCCTTTCGCAATGAATATCATTCCTCCCAACCGTTAAGGTAATATGCAAGGCTTTGAGAACTTGAGTTTGTTCTAATCACTAATGTCTCCTCGCGTTGGGGTCTCATCTTTGCTGGCTCCGTATCATCTCCACATGCCATTTTAGAATCAACTCACCATCTCTTGCAGTTCCTCGACATGATGTCCATACGGAGCACGAGGTAGATGCTCAGGCTCAATGCACCTGCAAAACCTTGTTGGACTCTATTTTAGCTTATCCGAAAAGGTTTCAATTGACTTACGTTGCTGGTGTTCTCACTGTGGGAGGTTTTTTCATAGTATCGTTCGAAGGGGACTTGCGCGGAAGTTTCGTGAATGGCGAACTTTTTCTCGTGTGACCGAACGTCAGCTGTGATAGCCGTCCTGTGCGAGCTGTAGGCGTAGGCGTAGTCCCAGTCCCAGTCTAAGATCAGAATTTTGATAGATTTCTTTTTTTGTATAGAAGTCTTCGCAAGTATTGACCACGGTATCGATTTCATAGATAGCCCGTAGATTGACCAACCATTACGAATAGAATATCTGCTGACAAAAATCATTTGAAATGAACCTGATCTACAAGCTGAGTCGCGCTTCGTCTTTCTCAGTGTTGTGCAAGTGCCGCATCCCTCCCGTTTTTCGCCTCCATCTTCGTTTCTTGTCGTAAACCTGAGGTGTAGTGATGGGAATTAGAGATGAGAATCCTCAAAAAAATTCCTAACAAGCGTGGGAAAGTTCGACTTTCTTGGGCTCCCCCATGAATTCTCTCATCTTCGTGCATGAGTTTTCGCAAGAGGGCGCTCATGTCGTTGGGGGGGGGGGGACATTCAAGTTAGTGAGCCAATTGCTGTGCTTGGGACTAAGCCTTAGGCAGGGGAAGGGATTCTGGGGTAGGATGTGAGCTGTATGTGTTCTCCCTGGCGTTTCTCCCTCTCCTGGGCTTAGTCCAAGTGTCACCTACCATCGGCTCTGTTATGAAGTCCCCCTCCCAAGGGCATGAGCGCCCCGGCAGCTTTTTTGATAATCATTTGCTGCTCGCACTAGCTATTGAGATCTGTGGGTCACATAAAACAACTGAAAGAACAGGATCAAGGGATTCGAGGATTATAGGCAGAGTTCACCATTAAGAAGGCAGCCCCAAGAATTTCTGTAGAGGTGGTCAGGGGTACAGGAATGAAGAAAAAACCATGAGACACGGCCTAACTCGAGGGATGTGGCCTTTTCATTGCTGGTCGATTTTTTCATTGAAGCCACTCTCATCTGTGCTGCCCTCGCTCTTTCCTAAACGGCCGGAGTCGGATGGCGAGAGGGTGGGCGTGCCGCGGCACAATCGGCGCGGGTGTGACCTGCGTCGCTGGGGGCATATTTGTGCTCGAGATGCGCAACGTCCCGCACCCCCAAGGAACCCTCCTGTACTGGTACTAAGGACCATTTTGGATCGAATGAAAGGGTTTTAGAAGATTTTGAAGCTAACAGACAACGTTAGGTCATGAACTTCAGAATTCTGGGGGTTGAGATAATTTGGTATTCAGAATGGAACATCTTCCCGATGTCATAGCTTTTGATTGTTGATTGTCACACAGAATGGGGGCCAGCGATCTCTTAGGTGCCTCCTCAGACGTGCAACGCGTGACTCTTGAACTGTGCTTGATTTTTGGATCGATTTCACTCATAATACATCGGAGACAATGCTCTTTTCAAATCTGAGTTTTTGGCTAGGCAGGGGCAAGAGGGACTTTGTAACGCGCATGGCCCGAGAATCAAGTTCCGGGAGAAGATCTGCCTGAGTAATCCAATCTTTATGTTGGATTGCAAGCCGTGGCTGTTTTACGAGCACTTTTATGTATGTGAGGCATTTTCTTCCTTCTCATTTTTTTCTCATATACCCTTAGTTTTTGTCTACGGTTTCGAAATCGAGATTGGTCGAGCATGTCGTTTCGCATAAGTAAAGAGCTATCACATTGATGTGGTTTCTATAGAAATTTCCCTCAAAAGTGCGGTCACGATGGCTGGAGGGCGGTGTGGTTTTGACGACGTCATCAAGCGTTATTACTGGACGAGACCCTTAACGCGCCCGGGGTGTGAATGGAACGTCCTCCTGACGCCTTTCAATCAATGACGTTCAGTAACCTCTTCATGACTGCACGTCCATACATCGTGGTCACTGCCTTTAAGTTTTCTCGGTTTCTCTAGCGTGCTCTTACACTGTCATTTGACTCACCATTGTATCAGTTTCGAGTTCTTGCTGTGTGGCGTCTATGAAGAACACAGATGGCGCATGCCTTGCTGCAGGCTGTCGTGAAGTCTGCTGATCCGTGTTGCTGGATGATGTTCGTTCCACAGAAATCTGCTGTGCAGTTACCATCTGAATACGTGAGTGTCATCTATATGCCAGTATTTGCGAGCTTTCCAAAAGTCTATCCACACTGATTGATAGGTTCGGGGCCTATGAGCTTCTCGATCGCAATGGGTCAGCTCAACATGGAAATTACCCCTTCGGTTACCAAAAGAATTGCAATAAAGGCCTAATCGAACGGCTGCAACCCTGTTTTCACATTGAACTCCTCCGTATATACCTTTTTTGATTCTTCGATAAATTCAAGGATGTTGATGAGGTAAGGTGGTACATGTACATATAAGAAGCGTAGAAAGGAGCTCACTGGTGGTGATTTTGCTTCACGAGGTGTAGCCGAAGATTTCCTTTGAAATAGTGTTTCCGCAAGTATAATAATCTGAACGAATTTTTAAAGGCACAACCAGGCAAAGTCATGTGAACGATTTCCCTTCGGTCTGTAGGGTAGACCCTAGAGGACAATCACAAATGTGGCGTTCCGTGCACGGAAATCAACCGACAAGAGCGCTAGGGCCTTGCAAAGTAAGCTGCTGCAGCTGCAGTTTTTTCTCTTATCAGGCTGTTGTCTGGCGCCCTCTCATCTGTTGCGCTCTCTCGCCTCATACTCTCCTCTCCGCGCTTAGTCTCTCATTCCCTTAGCACAGCCGATTAGGAAGGTGAGTGAGCCCTCAACCTGAGCGTTTTCGACGGATTCTTTTCCTTTTTTCTTACTGCCGGCCCATTTGGCACCAATACATTACATTCGTGTGCAAGAGCCACACCAGTAGATCCAAGAGGTATGCCTTTACAAATGGGTGTGCCAGGTATCTGCAACTGAACGACCACTGAAATTTCCATCGTTCTTGCTATATCAGTGTTCCAAAAATTATGGTTGTAATTATGCTCTTCAATCGCTAGGCTTACTGCAGAGTCAACCCTGCGTTGCGCAGTTTTCAACGGCCACGTTGCGCAGTTTCGCCCGATTAGACACGTTCTCTCGCGCGAACATTCACACTCGCATGCTCGAGCCGTCTGTGTCTCCGCCCATACAGCGTGCGTTGAGGATCTCTCAACGTGCCGTTGCGAACTGCGCAACGCAGGGTTGACTCTGCTTACTGCCCGTTCCAAAAGATGATACTTGTGAAAGGAGCGGTAAAAGAAACAAACCGTCTACATATCCTGGAACTGGATTGAGCTTGAGGCTTCGGCTCAGCGCAGTATCATGACCGTGACGGCACCTTTACCAATCATATATATTTATGTACACTCACTGTGTAGATACCCCTTTGTGCATACACTTCACGTCGTACCAACCATGGTCAACCGTGAGTTCGCACTGTTCCAATTCATGGTTTCGGAAGGGGGAGGGGGAGGTGGTCGCATTCGCGGTTGAGTGGGATGAGTGGGACTAGTGATTATAGTTAATGGGGAGGCGGTTTAGATCGGTTTTTTTTTGTTGAGAAGTGGGCGTGAGGTAGGTGAGAGGAGAGGAAATAAAACTTGTCGTTTGTTATAATAATAACCCCCCGCTCGATGGTAGTTTTAGAGGGAAAGCGGTCGGAGTTGGGCTGTGTTGATTGGTTCTCAGAATCATACTATAGAAATGGCTGTGATGGCGAGGGTGGTGGTCCGGGTAGGAAGAAAGGTGGTCCTATTGAGGGAGCTTCATGAGTCTCATGGTGATTGTGGGGGGTCGCATTCGCTCAGTCCTATTTGCGAGGTTTGGATCACATGAAGTTAATGCACAAAGGTGTGCCTACAGGTGTTTGTATGATTGGTGGTGATGCCACCACGAACGTGTCACGCGCTAGTAGGCGCCTCGACCCAATCCAGTAAAGGATTTGTTAGCGGCTATTTTCATTAACCACTCCTCTCACCTGGATCATCTTTTGAAACGGGTGACTTCCTTCCGCAATGGGGAGTGCAGTAAGCCTTGTGCAGCGGTGAAAGGTTATCACAGTCATAATTTTTAGAAACACTGGTATAGCAAGAACTAGGGCCTTTTTTGTTAATGGTCGTTCATCCCATCAACTCCACCACGTCATCTTGCTCGCAGGCAGACATGCCGGCCTTATAAAACGGTCGTCACTCAACACCGACCATTGATTTGTACGCTAAAATCGCCCCACCGAGACCGAAACTAGCCGAAAGGATGTGGGCCAGCGAGAATCAAGTGGTGGCGACTGAAGGAGAAAGAAGCGGCCGTCGTTTCCCGCATTCGATTACCAGCGGTAACGACTGTCGACGAAACTTGGAAAGGTGCTGCCGAAGCGATCACCCAGGTTGCGCGATCCGAGCTCGGCATGACGAAGCCTGGACGGAGAAAGGTTGATAAGCAAACATGGCTGTGGACGGATCAAGTTAGAGAGAAAGTAAGAGAGAAGAAAAAGCGCTACCACGCTTTTCTTTCGGAGAAGACAGCCGGTTGCTGGCAGCGCTATCAGATAGCGAAGAAAGAGGCAAAGAAGGCCGTTGCTTCTGCGAAAGCAGCTCATTTTGCCGATCTCAATGAGAAACTCGAGTCGCGCGATGGTGAACGGTACGTTTACCGACTCGCAAAGACCCGCTATCGCCAGACCGAGGATATAGAAAAGTTCTTCGGCATAAATGATGCGAATGGTCACCTTTTGACGGACCGCGAGAAAACATTGAAGCGATGTGAATCGTTCAGAAGATAACCATGGAGGAGACGATTACGGCTATGAAGAAGATGAATCAGGCAAAGCGACTGGTCCTGGCGACTCACCAGGAAGGTCTTTCAGGGCGTGCCAAGCTTTTTCAAAACGGTTTTTTGCATGATATAGGGGCACATGCAGGAACCACAGAACATGGTTCATTTTTCCTGAATGGCTCTCTGAATACCAAAAAAGGGGGAAGAAAAATCACCCTCGGAAAATATTGTTTTTACTGCTTCGTTGTGGGGCATATCGTCCACAACGATTCATCTTCTTCATAGCCGTAATGATGTCATATCAGAGGGCTACCTCGATCCTTGCATTGAGAACAACGCGAACTTCGCGCAAAATGATGCGTTTGTCCAAGCCATGTGCTGAAGAAAGTGCCATGGTTTCTTGAGTGATTTCGGTGGGTGAACCGCGAGTGACGCAGTGGCCTAGTGGATAAGGCGATGGATTGTAGTTGGCACCGAAACGCTAGGGTTGTTGGTTCGACTCCTTTCGGTGTTTGCGTTTTGCATTTTTGGCCGGCACCTCAAAATGGTTGCCTAGTGGTACCAACTCTATGTTAGACTCCACATTTGGTTAGGGTCACAAATATAACCTCACTAGGTTGAATTTTCTTCAACAACTGTGGGAAACATGTCGTGGGGCCAAGATTACGCCAAATTGCGCTGGCGTCAAAAAATGTCATCTTCGTGATCAGGGCGCTGATCTAACCCTAACACCGAAGTTTTGGGGAAAATCGAGATTTTGACTCGACTTCGAAAATTGGACCGGCTGTAAGGACAACCCGACGTATGTCTCTGGACGGCTTGGAGGCGAGCCCGGAGCGGAAAATCAGGGGTACCTCTTGTGATAGACAGAAAATTAACGTATTTTCTCAATAAGACACGTGTCACACTTACCTGCGTTCTTGGAGCCAATCTCGATACCGACAAGAGGCCTAGCCAGGGACAGGATCAAAACTGCAACATGCTCCCACTTGACGGGAGGAAAACCTAGCGATCCATTCATGGTGCGTGGTCCATCGGCCATCACCGGCTTGCGTGTCTGCCATTCTTCATTGTAGGTCCGAATTTGTTAATTCTAGAGTACGACTCTAGTTGACAAGGGAACCGCCTTTGAATCATCCACCCACCATCAAGCCTGACGGCTATTGACGTATATGGTCCAACCGTCCGAAATCGAGTCAAAATCTTATTTTCTCTGAAACTTCGGTTGTAAGGGTTATTCAGTGCCCTGATTACGAATATGAGATTCGTTTTCGGTGCGGCCGTCACCTGAAGTCGCTATGGCACCATTTGGTGCCACAATGGTGCCCTTCGGGGTCACAAATCCCAAGACTACTTTTTTTGAACAAAATCTAGCTGTAAGAGTTGCCAACGGTTCCTAATCATGCAAATGACATCCATTCATAGCGGTCACGCTATTTTGAGCAAATTCTGAGATTCCTATTCGAAATGCAAAAATTTGTCATCGCAAGGATTCGAACCACGGACCCCTTCATCACCCCTGTTTTGGTATTCGGGGGGTCGCTCAGGAAAAACGAACCATGGTTCTGTGGTTCCCACATGTGCCTCTATGTCATGCAAGAAACCATTATGAAAAAGCTTGGCACTTCCTGAACGACCTTCCTGGTCAGCGGCGGACTTGGACTTGGTGGAAATCAAAGTGCTGGAATCCTGCACAGTGGTTGACGGAGTTCTTCAACCAGGTCGTTGCAGAGAAGAAGGTGCCTGAGAGCTGGCAACAGAGCACGACGATTCCAATCTGGAAGAAAAAGGGCAGTCCTGCGGACTGCACTAGCTACCGTCCAATTCGCCTGCTCTCGCATAGCATGAAAATCTTTGAGCGAATTGTAGACAGTCGTATCCGTGACGTCGTCGAGCTGACCACCAACCAAAAAAGCGCCGACCCTGCTACCTAGCCTTCCTCGATTTGAAGAAGGCGTTCGACCGTCTACCACGTGCAGTACTATACAGGGGGGGGGGCAAAAAAAAAGAGTCACTTTGCCTATGGCGCATATCATCAAACTTTTCGTCGCAAAGGATGCCGCTGTTATTGGGAGTTATACGGCAAAATTATTCCTTAGATGTCCCCCCATAAGCAGAATCAGGCCCACCTTCGCTGCGTTCACCGTCTCCAGAATATGACGTCATCTGTCATCACCGTCGAGCTCAAGGAGGCCTACCATAATCGCTCCATTCTGAAGCTGCTACATAATTCTTCAATCGGATAACTGGTGAATGGCTTCTTAGAGACACTAGCTCTGACTATGCAAAATGGCTTTTGACCAGCGTTTCAGAGACGTCGTAATCGTCTATGGTTTCTCGACGACCTCGTTGAGCTCGTACC